GAATGCTTTGATTTTAATTAAAAGGGGAATTACACTCCCAAGTAGAAAATCCCTATTATACTAAAACATTTCTTCTGATCTTTCAAAAAAAAGTGAATAGTGAGAGTTGAACAAATAAACTTTATCTTGTCTTTGGGTAAGTGACATTCTGGTTCAAAACAGTGTTTGACTTCTCTTGGTAACACTAGTAACGCTCCCATTCTTACCAGTTTTTGTGTTTTTTCCCTGATACTTTGTGTAGAATGTTTCCCGTATTGGTATATTTTAGTTCCTGTTAACATACCTATTCAGCCTCTAACTGTATGCCATTAAATTGCATAATTAAGTATCGCATTACAGGAATGACCTTTGATTTGGAGTCCTAATGGTAAGCTTAATGAGTTAGAGATGTCTGCACTGCTAATAATTTGTGTTTATAAGATTCTCATAATAGTATTGACATTTGGGCTGTATTGGTGAAATCAGCAAAGGGGAGATAAACTTAATCAAAATTCCTGTGTGGTGCATAGGATCCCACTGTGATTTGAGACATAACATTTGTAGTTTGTCATCACCTGTCTATTTTAATAAAGTCCTGCTTGTGTTTAAAACTTTAATTTAAACCAGGTGAACGTAGCTATACAGGGAAACCTCTGCTGGAGTAGCTTGTGGCAATTTTATTTGAAGAGGAACTAATTGCTTTGGTTTCAGGAATGTTCTTCCACCTGACTAGGACTCAGCTGTCAATGTTGCCCATTCAGTGGCAACCAAGTCTTGCAGCAGATGGTCAGTAGTCCTTGATGTTCAGATGTGGGAGAACACACACGTGTGGTGTTACTTGCTAAAGACTGAGCGTGCACTGCTGGCTGAGCTTGTCCGGGTAAGGTTTGGAAGTTGTCAAGTTGTCTCTGGGAACCTGCTGTGTCCCAGAGCTGGTATTTTTGCTCTAGAGGGGTGAGTAGCTAATGGCATAGTACAGCTGAGGACTTCGGCAGGCAGCTGAAGCAGTGGCCTACCTTTGACCAGCCTTCTTTCTTTCTTTCTTTCTTCCTGCAACAGCTTCTGTCCTTTTTTTTTTTTTTTTTATTAGATAAGAGTTGATCCTTTCTCATGGTAAGCAAGTTTGAATAGGAAGAGGACGAAAATCCTAGGAGGCTTTCTAAGCACGTTTGTCCAAAGGCTGTCTTGTTTCCCCAGAGTCACCCAGCTGTAACCATGCTGGTTTGCCTTTTGCTTTCCATGTGCTCCCACTGTGGGAGATGAGACTTCAGGTGCAGTGTGTTACAGCCCTAGCCCTTTGCTAAGGCTGTGCTAGCTCATGCAGAGCAGGGGAATATTTGGGCTTTACAAGAAGTTCAATTTTTTTGGGCTGTAGAAGAGAAGCTTCTAAGGGATATAACTAAGTTGTACGTCCTTCCAGGAGAGAGATTGTGAATTGCAGGAAAACTAGAAAAAAAAAGGGACCAGACTGTTCTTCGTGTTTCTTTTTTGAAAGCGTACTAGAGAAAGATGATACTCTACAGTACAATTTTCCTGCCTCTTTCAGGATGCTCCCTGGCCTGTTTGTGTACATGTGCCCTGACTTGCCGGTAGCCTTTTGATAGCCTCTCTTGCTTCAGCACAGTGGAGCTGTCTGAGCATCAGTTTGCTTGGGATTTCCCTTCAAAGCATCACTCATCATCGAAATCCTGCTTTGTGCTGTTTGGCTACATAGGTGATCATGTTCCTCCACGAAACACGTTAACAATACCTTTTGTGACATTGATTTGACAGGAATAGCTTTTAATTTATCTATGCCTCATTCATGCCTGTGTGAAATTTTCTTTACTGACAGTATATGTTGTTTATGTTTTTGACTCGTAGATGCCTGAAAGTTGACTAATGAATTCTTCTTAGCTAGAACTCTTGACTTTTGTAGTAAATTTTTTGTCTGCAGAGAAGCCCAGAAAAATCTTTCAGCTTTATTACCATGCTTATTCAATGCAGCACTATTGCTCCTGGGGTTTTGGTAGGGATCAGACACTCCTCATAGCCATGTTATCCTGAAACTTCATTTCAGTGTATGGACAACCTGAAAGAGAGAAAGCGAGCAGTGCATGTGGATAATAGAAATTACTTTGTATTGAGCAATTATTCAGATTGAAATTAATTGTTTATCGCTATAATATTTGGGAGTAAATGAAATCACAGTTGAGTATCAGTAAGTTAATATAGGAGAAAAGTGCTTGTTCCTTAAAGGCAGAACGTTGCTGTGAGGTCTGTGCAGCCGTGAGGACTCTGTTGAATGGGGTGAACTTACCACGTAGCTGAGACAAGCTGGAAACTAGGAGGGAAGTCATTCCACATGGGTGACAAATAACACGATGTACCCAAGCTCGTTAAACTTTTGATCATGGTAGAAACTGAACTTGGGTCCTCTCAGTCTGAGCTCTGTGCCATCAGTTTGCTACTTTTTTGGTTTTTGCTTTTAATGCGTGTCTTAAGCACTGCAGGACTCTTGCTTGGATGGTTTGCATCCTTAAAAAAGGTCAAACTGCAAGAATGTAGTATAAAATGAATGCATTATGAATGTCATCTACAGCATGGAACAGTTTCCACTAATTAATGTGTTGCGTTTTACCTCCAACAATTAATACTTCAAGATTTCTAAGGTTTTAGATAAATTTTCTTGAAACAAAACAGGGGGTTTTTATCTTCAAATATAGTGATATCTTGTGTTCCTCACTTGTTGTCCGGAGCACGTGTGTAGGGATTTTGTGCAGCAATCAGATGGAGCAAGAGAAAAAGAGAAGGTGTTACTGAATTCCCTACCTCTGTAGTTAAACGCTTGTGTTCAAAGTCAAGATTTTTGTCGCGGCAGATTCTAAATGTGCTGTTTTCCCATAGGCTACAGTGGTTACAGTGGCTTCCTCAAGGTCTCTTTCTTTGGGATGTCCTCACCGGTCTGGTCGGTGAGGATGACAATGACATGAGTTATTACTCGAGAGGAAGAGCAGTAGATGCAGGAGTCTGTCAACTTGTTGTTGGGGTGTTGTGTGTGGCCAAGATGGTCTAAAACATGAGAAGGAATCTTGAGTCAGTGTAGGCTGAGTGTTTTGCTATCTGCCCATCTATCTTTTCCATGGGCAAAATGAAGAGATACAGTGAGGAACTAATACTTTTTATTGTGCTTGAAATTGCGTAGGAAGAAATAAATTACTGAAATACCTGTTGGGTCCTAAATGTTGAAAATAAATTTGTTTACTCGTAGTTTTGTGCTTACTCTCTGGTCTTCAATATCAACTGGAAAATAGAAAAAGGAGGACTGCTGGAAATACAAGGATCTAGGCAAAACAAGTTATATATTTCTCTCTTCTATTTCCTCACCACTTTGTCACCAGACAATATCCAAACTCGCTCTGCTCCTGAATCTGTCTTGTACGTGTCTTTTAAATTGGGCAGTATGTAGCTCCTGTGTCTTTTCTTCTCTAGGTAACTTCTATTTTCCTTTGCTGTTTTTGTAGTTAGATGCCTCTGCTATGAAATGGTGGTTTTGTACTTCTTTGAGGCTTTCCCTGAGTTTGGTGCTCAGTGTTTAAAACTTGGTGCTGGTAGATGATCTCTGCTCTCCTATTTCAGGGTTTTCTAACACCAGCCCCTTTGGATGGCTCCCAGGAAAAAGGTTTGGTCTTGAGGCAGTTACTTTTTCTGTCTGGCTAGATCTTGTCTAAATGCTGGTAGTCCCATTAAATGGATAAAACAAACTTCATCGTAGACACGTGCTGATACTACGACCTCTCTTAGCACAGTATAAGGCAGAGCATGAAATATTCAGGTATAAGGATATTCAGACAGTTGGTAAAATATGTCTGGGGCTCACAAGCTGTATATCCAAAATTTCATGAATCCTTCAAGGAAACCCTTCTTGTTTTCACACTTGGGAACCTCTATCAGGAGTTGTGTGTGTGCTCACTTCGGAAGCTTGCGCCTGTTGCTGACTGGGACGTGTCCAGCATTAGCTTGCGTCCATTGTACGCTCTGTTTCCCTAGAGGAGAGAATTTAAATGCCAGTGCTCGTGTACAGTCATCAAAGTCCTGTTATTTGAATAAATTAGATTTTTTTTCCAGGTCTTTCTAGTTACAGGTCAAGCTTTTTGGGCTGATGGTTCTAGTGGTTCTTAGAAGCCTTTTTCAGTTTTCTCAAGATTTGTCCTATAAACTTGTATTTGTCCTATAAGCTTGGAATCAGAACTAGATTTATTATATGGGACTCATTAAAGCCCAATACAGGGGTAAAAAGTTAGGCATTATTACATGACGTTCCTTGTTTTCTCTTTCAAGAATCAGATTAATGTGTTTGATCTATGTCTACACTGGGAGCTCACTGTCAGTTGAGTAACTTTGAGGGTCTGATACTTCATTTTCCTTACTTACCTGAAAATTAAACTCAGTTGAAACTTTTCTGTGAAGGAAGGCTACCTTTGTAGGCACTGTTGTTGTCCCTCTAGGAGAAGAGAGAAATGAACCAGATGCAGTATATGCTTGTCCTAAATTGCTAGTGCATCTTTGCTTGGTGTTTAGGGCGTATGGTGATGTAAAAAAAAAAAAGTATCTGCAGCCCCTCATTAACTGGGGATGATCAGCATCCCTGGGACCTACTCTTGGGTTTTGTTGAACTGAAAAGTACGTTATTCACATGTTTACCAAGTGATCTCTGTTGCTTTGTACTACTAACCAGAAGGTATAATTCAGGCTTTCAGTCCTTAGCTATTAACTTAGCATGCCTAATGCATGGGAGAGCATTTGTGCTGTTCTATGGGTTATTTTTCCTGGCCGTTACCAGATCATTGGCATGACTCTGATCCAGTCTGGCAATTCTGTGTTTGAATTTCACTGGTAAAGGCACCGAGTAGAGCTAAGGCTAATGCACATCTCTGCCAGATCCCTGTAAAAGCATCCCTGCTGTAAGCAGCAATTCCCTCTTTACTACATTCTGTTTCCATCATAAGCCTGCTTTCTAAACTTGTTCTCTCTTGTTCTAGGCTGCAAGCATGTGAAAGGCATTCTCTTGTACGGACCTCCAGGCTGCGGTAAAACACTTATGGCGAGACAGATTGGCAAGATGCTGAATGCCAGAGAACCAAAGGTGGTCAACGGTCCAGAAATCCTCAATAAATATGTGGGCGAATCTGAGGCCAACATCCGCAAGCTGTTTGCTGATGCAGAAGAAGAACAAAGAAGGGTAATGCAAACATAGATAAATAGCATGGTCAGTATGAATGTGCCTAGAGAATGACCGGAAAGGAGGTTTATAATCAGAAAATTGCTGCTTGCGTTAAAAGACTGAGTCACTGCTTAGCTTGTGATTATAGTTATTCCTTGCAAGTCACTGAATATTAGTGTTCTACAGATTCACACAATGTCAGTTGAAAAAATAATCTTAGAACCTGAAAAGGTAGCTGGTCTTCTAGCTAGCTATGCTGAAGATGGACAGTTTGTTTAAATACCATGCAGAGTTATTTTAAAGTAATACAGTAGGGCCCATCCTGCTATGCTTTGTATTATGTGGTGTGTCACCTGCTCAGAAAGTGCTTAAAAGTAGGATTGCAAAAATTTTGCTCTGTTTTTTCTTTTCTCTTTTTTGTGGGGAAGACATAGTTAATCTATTTGTATTTTTGCTACTAAATACAGGTGGTACATAACATAGGATGAATTTTAAATAAGCTTTCATGGTTTCAGGTTTATTAGTATAAGTATATAATAATCCTTGAAGTGTTATAATCGATACATCATTAATTTTTCTCAGCAGAAAACTAAGGGATGAGAATAGTGTCTCGAAACTAGAGAGTATAGATCTTTGAAACTGGAAGTGGAGATAAAGATTCTGGTTTTTTCCAAACTTGTTTTTTTTTATCCATTACTTTAGCTGGCTATCAAAAGCCTAGTCTTTAGTTTGAAGGTGTAAATACTTATTTCATGTGTGCTATGGTAATTTTTCTCTGCTGTGGATCACTTAATCTTGGTAAGATTTTCTCGTAAAGAAAATACAATTTCAGGCAAGTCACAATTAAAGGTAGGTAAGAAGATATTAGCAAAGGACATTGTATCCCTTTAATTTTATTTACACCTGACAAGACTGCGGATTTTGCTAGTGGCTTGAAATAATTTAATTTTCTTCTGCAAAAGATTTATTAATCAATAAGTCAGCTTTGCATGGTAACCCATACCGGTATAAACAATCTCCTTCTCTCTGGCTGTTGCAATCTAGCTGAAAGCTGTGAGCTTCTTTTCCTTTGCAATAACACACCTGTTAAAATAGACTTTATATTGGCTGGAGGGGATGGTCCTGATGACAAGTTGCGAGATTAAAAAGGTCTCGAAAAGGTTGGTATTGTAATGACTTGTGTCTGGGGCAGATTGCCAGTGACAGCACATTTACCCAGTGTTAACATGGTCTCCACTGTCCACAAAAGATGTTTTAGAGGTGGAATTTGAAGGGAAAAAGCTTCATAATGTGGTCACAAAAAGTATCCTGTTCTCTTACCAGCTGCAACTGCTTCACCTTTGAGTGAACCTGGAAATAAGCAGTTCTGTTCCTGATTGGCACTGAACGAATGGACTCCTTAAAAATACTAAGAACAAAGCTACTCTGGCAAGCTGTGTATTTACTAACTTTAGTACAACCTGGGGTATTTCCCACATGGGGTGCATCCCTCCACAGATGTGCTTTGTTCTCCATCTCCCTTTCGGAGGGCTTTCCCAGCTACTGAGTACTGTGACCCTTTGTCTGAGCTGCGTGTTCCAGCTTTGGGCTTGTGCTTTTCGTGTTCAGTCTAGTCCTCTTCCTTGAAACACTGCTTCTCTTACCAATGACAGCTGTGAAGTCCTATGTTTGGGCAAAGCCCACCAACCACCCCATTTTGGAGGAGGGCAAGATGTTATTCTGGAGAGGGGTCTGAAACACACATAACATGTGAGGTATCAATGTTCTGTATCTCCGTGGCTGAGCTTGTTAAGAAGTTACTGTTTTGTTTGGATTGCTTTCAGTGATGACATGTGGTATTCCTGACATGTTTTTCTCTCCAATAGCTTGGAGCAAACAGTGGTGTGCATATCATCATTTTTGATGAGATTGATGCAATCTGCAAGCAGAGAGGAAGCATGGCGGGTAGCACTGGAGTCCATGATACCGTTGTAAACCAGTTGCTGTCTAAAATTGATGGAGTAGAGCAGCTCAATAACATCCTAGTGATTGGTATGATGGTGCTTACTTTCTCTGTTATGGGGTCTGGTTGAAAACTGCTGCTATTTTGCTCCCTGCAGGTCAACTAAGTTATTATTACTGGTATGGGATCTGTTTGGACTAATCCAAACTGAATGACTGCTATTTAACAAGCATCAGTAGCAGATTTAAAGGGAGATGGTGCTGTAATTGGCTGATATTGCTGCTTTCAACAATTTCCTCCTTTAGCTTTTGATAACAGGTGTTTCATAGTTTAAGAAAACTTGAAAGGAATTATATGCATTGGTGTATCGGCATATGAAGGAGTGGGGCTTCGCTAGCTGTGTTGTCTAGTTGTCCTGATGCCAGGAGCCCTGCAGCTACAGGTTTGATTCCTATTGCCCTGACTCTACTCCAGGGCATGACCTTTGCAGTATTTCTGGAGATTTCTGTCTTTTGTCTGTTTTCCTGAGATTCTGAGGTATCTTCTTAGCTCTATAGGCTGTATTCAGGAGTTGGAGACCTACTTAGTAAGGTCAGATAATGCTTATTTTGTTTTTAACTTTGAATTTAGGAATGACCAACAGACCTGACCTGATTGATGAGGCTCTGCTGAGACCGGGGAGGCTGGAGGTTAAAATGGAGATTGGTAAGCAAGCTAGCATATCGCAATATATAAGCTCACATGTACTTACAATAGTAAAGCAAATACATATCATAGTGTGAACAATTAACCAGGATGGCATAGGTGCTAAACTTCATGCAGCTCCCTCGTAATACTACATGTAAATTTAATCATCCAATTAAAATGCCATTTTAGACTTACCTATTGATAAGCCATTGACCTGATACCAGTTTCTGTCCAGCAGAATGGATAGGTGTGGGCAGGCAGGATCCTGAATCTCTTGCATGAATGAAAGGAGCCAAGTAATGGCACCAGATCATTCCTAGGTGGAAATTGCAGAACTGTTGAACTTGTAGAGCAGGCAAGAACAGTGTGTGAGCAATTCTTGACTTGAAGGAAGTGCAGATCATTTTATTTGCATGAAGTGATAATGGTGACTTTCACTGGAGGAACTGCAAATGTTAAATAGCATTGGCTATTGGTTTCTGCAATCAGCAGATCCGGATTACTTGCATCAACAGAACTAAAAGTGGGCCGAAGAGCTCTGTTAGCCATTTATTCTAGTGAACTGGAAAAGAACGCTATCTGTCAGTAACTTAAAAGGGACTTCTGTAATTGTACACATCTGCCTGATACCAATGCAGATTAAATAATGGAATATCTGATAATGTAGGATTTATTAAGGCCAATCCTCTTAAATTCATGAAAACAAGTCTCTGACTTTGCATTTGAGATCAGAAGTTGGATCAGTAAAGATCATGGTGGAGTCTAAAGGGTGACTAGCCTGTGGTGCTCAGTTCTGAGGTTAACAATTCACAGAAGAATGTTTGAATAGAGAGTAGCTTGGGAATGATTAAAAGCTTAATGATCCTGTCTTGCGGTGAGAAACTCAAATTGGTTGAGATCTGTTTAATTTAAAGATTGGAAATGCAGTTGCAGATGTGTAGTTTGGAAGAGCTCATAAAACATTTTCCCTAACCTTCCACAGACATACAAATGTCACAAAATATTTTCTGTGCTCTGAGCTAGGCACCTACTGATGTAAAGGTAAAAATTCTCAAGCTGTAGTGAGTCACAAAAAACGAAAGGCCAGGCCATGAGTATTAATATGGTCTGTTTCCTTTCAGTTGCAGAAAATCAGATGAAAATGTCCATATAACCCTAAAAATCATATGGTATCATACTAGAGTGGCAGGCAAAATTGTAATTGTCTATGCTGGTCTGAACTGCGGGGAAACTCTTGAAATCTGATCTATCAATGTAATCTTAAGAGCTCGCTAGGGATTTTTTCTCTTATCTTTAAAGGGTAACGTCACTTTTTGAAAGAACCAGAAACACGAAAGATTCTTATGTGATAGCTGAAAAGGAAAGATTTTAGGCAAAAGAAGGAATGAGGAAGTGAAGCTGATGACTACAGAGGCAGCCACAGAGGTAACCCGGGCAGTGAGCTGATGCTCCAGAGCTAATGCTGTCCTTGAATACTGTAGGAAACAGTTTATAGCAGGCATTAGTGTGCATGTAGCTCACGCTAGATGTGAGGACTAGAGATTCAACTAGAGCACTAGCTGTGGAGCGCAGACAGCATGGATGGTTTCAAATATGCTGGAGACTTAAGAGACTAATACATTTTTTGGATGCAGGAAGAAATATTGAAAGAGACCTGCCTATTCCTGGCACAATACACAAAAAAGGAAAATTGAGAAAAGAAGTGTATGGCAGTACATAAAGAATTATTAGAAGTCAGGCTGATGAATAGAAATGAGAGAGAGTTAGCATTGGCAAAAGCTGTAGTCAGATACAGTCTTTACAAACTAACACAGCTACAAGGAATTGAAGGAAAGACTCAATAAAGGAAGTGTGTTTTAGGGACGAAGAAGTGTAGCCACAATGCCAGTCCCCTTTGAACAATCTCATACTTGAAAACAAATGCCTAATAGCAACTGCTATTAGTAAGCCCAGGTGAGATTGATTGTATTGCAGGTGTATAGTACTTGCATCTTTAGTTGACAAAAGTTGATTAAATTAAATAAATTCCAGGGACTGAGCAAGACATCCCTAGAATAAATTATCAGATGATAAGGACTGAATGCTGCTGGGGACTATGCACATTTTAAAATGTCCTTTCACATACCCTCAGCACAAATACTAATCAGTGCAAATTATCAGATCCTTGTAATAAAGGCTATGAAGGTAGGTTGGGAAGTGAGCTAAAGAACAGCATGGTTTTACCAAGATGATGATGTGCCAGACTGACTTGTTATGCTTTCTTTTACAAAAAGGCTTTTCTGTATCTTCCATTATATGCATTTTAGAAGGGGCTTTCTAAGGTGCAAACTGGGAAATTACCACCTCAATCAGAGAAAATGAACATTGTATGAGAGTGGTTGGTATGGGCCAGGTGAAGAGTAAAGTCAAGACCCTGAATTTTAGGAGAGGGAACTTTCAGTTGATTAAGTGATTAGTGGATGGGATCCCTTGGGAAGCTGCTGTCCAGGATAATGGAGCAGAACAGAGCTGGCAGCTCTTCAAGGACATTTTTCTTAGCATGCAAGAGCTCTTGATTCCCATGTGTAAGAAGAGGGACAAGGAAGGCAGGAGACCAGCATGGCTCAGTAAGGACCTCCTGGTCAAACTGAAGTGTACAAAGGAAATGCACAGGCAGTGGAACCAGGGACATGGATTCTGGGAAGAATATAGAGATGCTGCCTGGGTGTGTAGGGATGGGATCAGGAAAGCTAAAGCACAGTTGGAGCTGGATTTGGCAAGGGATGCAAAGAATACTAAGAAGGGCTTCTAAAGGTGCATTGGTTGGAAAACGAAGATTAAAGAAAATGTATACACTCTGGAGTGGGTCCAGAGGAGGCCATGGAAATGGTCTGAGGGCTGGAACACCTCTCCTGTGAAGAAAGGCTGAGAGAGTTGGGATTGTTCAGCCTGGAGAAGAAAAGGCTCTGGGGAGACCTTATTGCAGCCGTTCAGTACTTAAAGGGGGCTTATAAGAAAGCTGGAGAGATACTTTTTAGAAGGGCCTCTAGTGGCAGGACAAGGGGGAATGGTTTTAAACTGAAAGAGGGTAGGTTTATATTGGATATAAGGAAGAAATGTACAATGAGGACCAAGTTGCCCAGAGAAATTGTGGCTGCCCCATCGTTGGAAGTGTTCAAAGTCAGATTGGATGGGGCTTTGAACAACCTGATCTGGTGACAGATGGCCCTACCCATGGCACAGGGGGTGGACTGGATCTTTAGAGTTCCCTTCCAACCCAAACTGTTCTATGATTCTGCGATTCTATGATAAGTACAAGGTGGGAACTGGGTTTAGGGATGCCAAGGGACTGACCAGATTGCTTTTGTGTAAGGTGAATTCCTGGTATGGAAGCCTGAGAGCAACCAACTTGGAGGAACCCTGATGAAAGAAACGAAACGTTACCCTTTTTCTCTCTACTTTGGTGGCGATGCTAATAAATTTGCCGAGGGCAATTAGTGTAATTGAATGTTCTAAAACAAAAAGCATTGTCAAATATTCTACTTGTAAGAATGAATTGCTCATGGTGAGAAAGAGCCTTTGGAGGTAGGACCATTGAGGAGAGGGAAAGGCTTTGCTGCAGTTGCTGTGCCGAGGCACTGAATGACATGCGTTCTGTTTAAAATCTCAGGCTTGCCGGATGAGAAGGGTCGATTTCAGATTCTTCATATCCACACAGTACGGATGCGGGAACACCAGCTGCTGGCTGAAGACGTGGACATTACAGAACTGGCAGTCGAGACTAAAAACTTCAGTGGTGCTGAATTAGAAGGTTTAGTTCGAGCTGCTCAGTCTACTGCTATGAACAGACACATCAAGGTCAGTCCTGTCGTCTCTCACTGGGGCAAAAAAAGGGGAAAATAATTATGTCTGGAGTCTTTTCTTGCATCTTTACTTCCAAATGTGTAATGGCATCTCAGCATACCTGTCCTGGTTTCGACTGGAATAGAGTTAAATTTCTTGCGGGGGGGTATCGGCGAGCGGTATCCACCCCTTATTCTATACCATCTACATCATGCCTAGGTTTCACATTTTCTAATACATTCCAATTAATCACCACCACCTTTCTTGTCTTTTGATATATATATACATATATATATATACACACACACACATATATATACACAGAGATATCATTCCCTTAGTCTATGGGCCATCCCTCTAAAATGTCCATTGAGTTCGTTTAGTCCATGACTTTGGGCTCCATCTGTCATAACAGTCTTTCAGGGCAGGAGAGATGGTGTGTGGTGTTGGATTGTTGCATCTTGAAGCCAGTTCTGATTCCATTATCGCTGCGCTCGTCTGGTTCTATCATCGTTGCACTTTGCTCGGTTTCATCGGAATTCATTCTTCACTAATCTGGGTGATTCTTACTGCAATATAATTGGTATGGCATATAGCAACCATAGAAGTGATGACATACAGGATGATACAGCAATTAACATCATACAATCCACTTCATTGGCTATTTTCACCCAAAATCAAATCCCCTTGCACACCGGACTTCCCCATCCTTTCGCATTACCCACCAAGTGCACCCAGGTCCTTGAGCAAAAGCAATCCCACGGATGGGTTTTCCCTTGCCGAGGCAGGAGTAACCCAGATCTGTCTTCCCCAGCGTATTTCTTATGTGACGACAGGGACTTTATCTCCATCTATAGTACGTAAAAGTTTTGACTGGGCAGGGCCAGCTCGATTGAAAGATCCCCTGGTGTTGAGTAGCCAGGTCGCTTCTGCTAAATGTGTGTTCCAATGCTTGAATGTCCCACCACCCATTGCTCTCAGTGTAGTCTTTAGCGGTCCGTTGTATTGTTCAATTTTTCTGGAGGCTGGTGCATGGTAGGGGATGTGATAGACCCACTCAATGCCATGCTCTTTGGCCCAGGTGTCTATGAGGGTGTTTTGGAAATGAGTCTCGTTGTCTGACTCAATTCTTTCTGAGGTGCCATGTCACCATAGGACTTGCTTTTCAAGGCCCAGGATGGTGTTCCAGGCGGTGGCATGGGGCACAGGGTATGTTTCTAGCCACCCGGTGGTTGCTTCCACCATGGTGAGCACATAGCGCTTGCCGTGGCGGGGTTGTGGGAGGGTGATATAATCAATCTGCCAAGCCTCCCCATACTTATATTTCAACCATCGTCCCCCATGTCAAAGAGGCCTTACTCACTCTTGCTTGGCTTGTTTGATTGCAGCGCATGTTTCACATTCATGGATAACCTGTGCAATAGTGTCCATGGTCAAGTCCACCCCTCCATCACGAGCCCATCTATATGTTGTGTCTCCTCCTTGATGGCCTGAACTGTCATGGGCCC